TGTACCACTATATGTTTAGTTTAGGAACTGAAGAAAAAAAAAAGTATTTCAACTCTCTGAGATTGAGGTAACATAAAAATATCTTGGTAATTTTGAAATGGAACTTCATCCATTTAGAATAAGAGGATTACACAGATATTTTTCTTCCAGTAAGTTTGAATATTCCTAAGAAAAGGGAAAAAGAAAACAACAAAACATGGGATGTGCTTTCAAGGCCTTAGTTCCATAATGATGGATTAAACTGTTAGTAGGAGTATCTACATCAAGATCAAGCTGTGTTCTGTAAGCTGTTTAAGGAGCAGCACAAACTTCTCAGTGTTTGTAGCAACAGAGGCATCTAAAGATATTGGTACTTGCACTTCTGTTTTTCTGTGAACCCTTTTTTTTCTTGACATGGCAGTATTGTTCAATTTTTAAGGAGATCCAGAGTTTCTGTGGCTTGATTGTAATACATGACTTAAATAGATATCATTCTTATCATTACAGTGCTTCTTAAGGCAGTACATCAATAAGCAAGGTGACTGAATTTTGATATTTTATGTAAATTGAATGCAAACCATATGGAAGTTTACATTACTGAGACTTTTTAGATGGATTAATACTATGTTATTCCTCTCTGTGCCTTCAAAATACGGTTAGCAAGTTATACTTCTGAATATGGTCTACCTGACATGAGTAAATGAATGTATTGAAGATAGAACATTGATATCTTTAAAGTGGATTGTTATGAAGACAGTTCTGTGCTTCAGGAATGGCAAGTCATTCTAGTAAATAGTATTAAAGCGGCAATTTTAAAATATTGCACTACTTCTGTGAGACTGTATTAGAGAGTTAAATGGTATATATTTTATTTTGGTTTTCATTCCTACCTACTACTAATAGAATGTATATGCTTATCCTTAATTTACAACATTTTGGGTTTGTTTAGAAAGAATTGATTCCTAAACATTTAAGTGGATGTGATTTTTTAAAAATTATAAATTCTAAATTCTTTATTTTGTGCGGATGATTTAATTACTTTCAGGTCAATGATATGTTCACAGATCTTAAATCTATAACCATTGTCTCTGTGAGCCAGTGGTCCTCTAGTGTTTAACATCAAGAGTGGTTGATATGTCATCATATTACTGCAGAGTGTGATTATGAAAATAACATAAGTGGTGGGATTCCTAAATGTTCAAAATAAGCATAGAGTGAGAAGGAAATCAATAAGCCAGGAAGTTTGTGAAGATAATGGATGATAGATTATTATTTTATCAATTTTATACTTGTAATGATGGGTAAAGAGGATAATTTGTTTGTTTGTTTGTTTGTGGCTTTTGTTTTGTTTTTGTTTTGTTTTTGTCTTGGTAAGAACTAAAAATATTCGTTTTGATGGACTTGATTTCCATAACATTCAGGACTCAGAAGTAGTCCCAGGAAAAAATATGACTAAATGAGATTAGATGAGAATACAATCATGTTAAACTGTGTACTAACTCTAGATGTGTTGCCCTTTAAAACTGTTTTCTTTAACTTTTCTTTTTTTAAATTTTATTCATAGGATTATTAAAAGTTGATATTAATTTTAACCATATATATTACAGAAAGTTTAATTATCAAAAACTATGCATACCTTTGTGATCATGTGTAGAAATCCTCATTAGTTTCTTATTCAGAAAAAGACTGTTCATGAGTTCCATTTTGCCTATTTTTTTTCTCTATGTGGCCTTTACATGGGTATACAAATGGCACAACATAAAGATAGTGAATATTTTATTTACTGATTATTTTTCTTTTGTTTATTTAAGAATTTGAGAATTGGCTTTCCTTATACAACATGTACATTCTAAAGAAATATATTCAATACACTTTCTGTAGTTCCCCATAGCCTATTTTGATTTCTGCCACACACTGAAAATGAAGTTACATGTGTATAAGGAGTTTAAAAATAGGCTGGAAATATCTTGTGAAATATAACAGGAAATGTACGGAGATATATTTTTATCTAGCATTTTCTGTAGTGGGCAAAAATGAGCATGTTGTGCCTTTCAGCTCTGTTTAAGAATGCTGCAGAAACTTGTTATCTGTCACATTTTTAGTCGTGCACATGTCAATCAGATGCATATATAATATATATTGCAATCATAACATATTTACAGCCAGAGACACAGTTCTAAAAATAAAGTGGCAACCCCCTCCCCTCAATAAAACTGTATTTGCAGAAGTTAATAATTCTGACTTTACAGCAATATATTATGGCTGGGATCACTATACTCCGTTGAAGTGTGACTTCTCACTTATTTAATAAAAAATAATTACAATTAATAGCAAATATATATATCACTAATACTAAAAGGTCACTTCCCAATGGCAATGAATATGTAAGTTAAAGAAAAAGGAGAAACAGGAAAAAAGATCCATGAATAAATTTGGGGGTTTTTTACAATAATTTTTATGTACAACAGCATTGAAATTCTGGAAGCAATTTCCCATTGAAATATTCAGGCAAAAGAATTGTAACCTATCAAGAAATTATGTAAAATTATGCCTATGATAGGCAAGTGTATGTATGTAGTAAGAAACTTCCAGGCCTATATTTTAGTATTATGGACTGGATTAGTGGAGAGCTCCAAGCATCTTGCTCATAACAACTGAAGTAATGACTCTCAATTCTACATTTAACTCTGGTGTATGTGCATTTTTGTGCAAGGAAATGGAAGGAGGAACAAGGCAGTAGTATCAATTTCATGAAAATTAGCAAAATTCTTCAACTGCTGTAGAAAAATGGGGAAAACAGCACCTAATTTAGCAGAAATTTGGGGAGAGAAGACAATTTTCTAATTATTTTTTGTCAATTATTACGTATGGATGCATCTACTAATGACACAGAGCATGGGATTGTGATTTGGGTGTGAATTTGTCTTCAGTCTGTGTTTGGAGTCCTTCTGTACATATTTCTGAGCACCACTGAGCATTTTGAAGCATTGATTTGTTCCAGCGTTGTCTTTAGATTGCCATGCAGTGTGTAGCACTTGCAGTGCAGGTGCAAGGCCTTCCATCAGTTTGCTCTCTGTGCCTGCACTGTGTGTGCCAAAGACTGGCAGGTGATGCAGACTTTGTTGCTCCTTAGGATGTAATGCAAAGAGGCACAAAAAAATCGCAGTCATCCTTCCCTCTGTATGCTCCATCAGGTGTACTGCAGGTAATATTGACACACACACACTTAGACTTCCATGATTTCCTGAGATTTAATGATATAATATGTTGCATTTTTGATAAAAAAGATTCAACATTTTGTCTAGTATGTGCCAAGTAATTTGTTTTGCTTGTTTTAGCTTTTCTCTCACGATTTACGATTTTATTTTTTAACTGAAAAAAATAGTATCACTATCTGTCATACAAGAAAGCTCTAATTATAGAAGGTATATGTTACATCTATGAACCTTTTTTAACCTCAGAAATACCTTATGATGAACCAAGTGCTCACAATTGTGTTTATATTTTATAAAAATATATTTAAAATACATGTTAACAAATCCCTGTTGATTGCATGCAAGTTATTATTCCAGTAAATGTAGTTTCCTTAAAGTTAGCAAAACTTAATTTTTATAAGAATTTGAATAACTGTTAAGTTGGGAATTTTGAGGTACTCAATGAACTTAAATGAATGGTACAGACAGATCAATAAAAATAAGTAGGTAGGTAGGTACATTACCTATTTTTTTATTGATTGTTTTGGCCTATTTAGTGTTTTTGCTGTTTTTCCAAGTTAAGTCAGTGTGAATTGAACAAAGAGATTTGTATGTAATTTGGTTGGTAATGATGAAGAATTTTACTGAGGTGTAAATATATTTCTTCTGCAACCAAAACAGAATGTTTTGCTTGCTTGTCCCAGATGGCTTACTGTAAGAAGATCATATTTAGACTGAGGAGCAGACGTTATTATTTGAGGACATTTGGGAGTCTTTTATGGATTTTGTTCATAGAGTAAAAGATGTTTTATAGAGATGCTTGACATTGCTATCCTACTTTTGTGTAATTTGGTTTTAAATTTACATATGTGTAATAGATTAGAAGAAATGATTCATTAAAATAAGGATGCAGTAGTAGTGATGTAAAATAAATATAAATTATTAATAATTCAACAGTACTGGAAAAGCTAAAAAGACTGATGAATGCCAACAAAGTGTGTTATGTAGCCAACAATAATGGGTTAATATTTTTTTGTGCGGATGACCCAATTCCAAGTGATGTTTTAAGTGCTGTTTCTGAAGAATATATTGGACAGAAACCTTCACTGTTTATCACTAGATGTGCATGTCTCTTCAGTGTCTTATTTCCATCAAAGCATATTGATCAAAATGATTCAAAGGAAGAAGGTTCTTCCCTAGTTCTCCATTTTCTTTATGTCCATCTAAGAGCAAGATATTTGATACCTGGCATTTTGAAGAATCTAGCTGTTCATAGAATTGTTGTTGTATACTGTATGTATAGCCAGATTCAAATCTGGCTTGCTCACTCCATTTTATTTGGTGGTTGGGTGAGAGAGATGAAGGGAAAGAGGAGTGGCCTGTTTGTTTTCTTGTAAAATTCCTACTTTTTGCTTCTTTCAACTCTCTGTACTGCACTATCCCATCATTTAATGGGGAAGAGTTGTGCTCATCACTAATACCTGAGACATATTATTTTTTACTCTGTCTGCAGTAACTCCGAGTAAGAAGGGGAAGAATTTATAAATCATTCCAATTTATCTGTGATTTAAAACCAGCCTATTTCTGGGCATAGTTCACTTAATTCCTTATTTTCCTTAAGAAATATGAAACAGTGTGTTTCTGTACATGTCTGTATGAAACAGTTCTGTCTTTGCTGCCAAAATAGTTATTCTATGGAATATGTTTGGACCTAAGGCAGAGAAGAGAAGTGTCTTGCTCACTAGTAAGATCCATGGTAGAGGATTAAGTTAGCCAAACCCTACTCACATCCCGGTAAGCAGACATGTATTTCTGTATTTTTTGTAGGTGGATACAGTGCAGACTACGCAGCACCCTGGCCACATTGAGGAATCATGTAAAATGAATGTATGTGCTCGTAAGTGAATTATTTATGAAATGACACTCCAACTCCAAGGGACGTTGGATCACAAAATCCACGAACTCTCTTTACTCTTATGTTAAGACATTGATTCCCAGGGGGCAGGGTTACTGCAGAACTAAGTGGACCTTTAAAGCAAAGCTATTAGAAAAAGCAAAACAAACCATGATAAATCATGATAAAAACTGCTGAAAACAAGGGATTCAGATTACATTTTGGATGCATTTGGAGAGATATTAGATGGAGTCAAGAATCCAAAACAGGAAAACAAATGGTACATGACAAAGGTTTGGTGAGCAGAACCGATCGTAAGTGGAGGAAGAGGATCAAATAGCATCTAATTCAGGAGTAGGACTAGGACGAAAACACCGTTTTCTTCTTTGTTCCATCTTTGAAAGGACTGAAATTTGATTAGATGATTTGTTGAATTAATAACTGGGGGGTGAGTGTGAACAAGGTTGAAATTTCAGCGTTCGAATCAATTAAGTGTTTGTGGTTTGCTGAAAAAAAACCCAAAAAACCGACCCTGGTGGTATGCTAGATAAACAAAGAAAAATAATATACCTCAGGACTAAAATTCATTCTGTAAATCCAGAAGGAGTCTTAGTATTTGAAAATCTTTGTCCTGCTCAGGGGCATTAGAGAGAGTGTGGAAGAGGATTCAAGTCAAGGAGCATTGGGTCCTTCCGATTTTGCTGAGAAAAATGGCTCTACAAGGAAATTGAGGTAGATAGAAAGAAGAAACCAAACATGCTAAATGACTATCAGCATATAGGGAAATGAACAGTCACTCACATGGTACACATACAATTCGGTTGCTAAAGACAACTGAATTCACTTGACTTGAGCACTCCAGACTAAGGAATTGTATCAAGGATTGTACAACAGCCAAAATCAAAACCATATATACAGAAAACCTCTGACTCTACAGTCACTACTAAGCTATATACATCACATAAAAACAAAGACTATAGTGCCAACTCCAATTTTATATATATACACACACCAATTTTTATATTCATTTTATATATGTATTTAGATATTACTCTATATACCATCTTATGATTTAGAGAAAGGCTGAATATTTTCTCCTAAATAATTTATTTAGTCATAACCTTCATCATAAGAAGCAATAAAAGAGGATATTTGAATAATAATTTTCCAACAAGGTATTTTCCTTAGAAATAAAGCATAACTTCAGCACATTGAAGTTTGTGGTGCAAATCTGGTATAACTGTGTGAGAAAACTACATTATATTTGTAACAAAACTGTATATTGCGACTTGCCTTCACAGTATGGCTTTTCAACTATATGAACAAAAATGCTGAAAAATACTTTTTCTCTCCTGATTCTTATGCATTTATGTCTGAATTAGCTCACCCTTTGTGTTTATCCCTTCAAAACTGATCGTCTACCACTTTTTTTCCATTTGGAGTAATTAGTTCTGAGTGAAGGAATTTATGATACAGTAGGGGCTTTGACCTCTTTATTGTACTGAAATATATTATCAAACTTCAAAGTCAGTAGGCTGCTACCATATTGATTTTGTTTTCTGTGAACAAAATCAATGAGCAAAATTAAAATAAAAAGATCAATTATTTCATTTTTGAATTGATTCAGGTTTTCTACGTGTACATTGTTTATTGAAACTTGATTGCTAGTCTGGAACTTTAGTAATCCTGCATAAAAAAAATTAATAAAATACACAAAGGAAGAAAGTTACAGTTAAGACATACAGGAATGAGAAGGAAAAAGAGGCAAAAGAGATCAAGAAAAGTGCAGTTTTTTATTAGAATGCATTGTTTAGGAATATCAGAGAACTATAAAGATTGGTACCAACAGCTTTGTAAAAAAAAAAATCAGTCCACAAGTTGTTTCTTTTGGGTTTTATATCCTTTTTCTTTAGTTCAATTGATGCTTAGAAATGGTGTATGAAATACCTCCAGTCCATGAACCATATTTTGAGTTCAGAGCATTTGAAATCTTACCTAAAGATGAGAAAAAAACAAAACAAAACCCACCAAAATATTTAAGATGTAACATTTTTCAGAAATAAATGCATTAAGTATACAAATATATTTGTGAAAATTTTAGCCTTTTTCTGAATACAGACATTATCTAAGGAAAAAAAAAATCCTGGAATATGTAAAGGCATTCTTAAGTACCTCTGATCAGATTCTTATCTCAAATATAGCAATTTTATTTCAATAAAATTATTATTCAACTGGAAATTAAATAAAAACTGTGTCTTCTGTGTTCATTGCAATTTCGTTCTTCTGTATTTAATTTTCTAGTCAGAAGCAATTGTGAAGAAAGAAACCTTAAAAAAAAAAAAGTGCAACTACTCTAATTTTCAGATTTCAGAGAGTTTAGCAGTCAAGCAATTTGTATGGAATAAAAGCACTTTTATATTGCCTCCTGCTACAATACCAGTGGGGAAAGGGCAGCAAAACAGTGGGAGACCAAATGAAGAGTTTTTTCTTCTATTACATCAACTTGCAAGATACTGGGAGCTTCAGAATTGCGAGTGGTAATATAGCTTTTATGAACTATTTCTTTCCTCTTTGCCTCCTACGGCTGCTTCATTGTTGGGTAGTGTCTTTTTTATGTCAGAATGAAGGAGTAAAGATATGTGTGACAAGTGTCATTCTACTTTCTGTTTGCCGTTGTCCTGCTTGGATGAGAGAAAAAATACATCCATCTGACTCACATTTTCCTATTTTTTAGGAAGAGATTAATTTGGAGCTTTTAAAGCTAAATATGAATTGTCTTACGCATATGAGCCAAATACACCTAGAGATTTCTTGTATAAGACCACTCTTTTTCCAGTATCACTTTATTTTCAATTGTTTTATACAAGAACACTAAAGAACAAAATATGTCAGTAGAAAACTGTCAGGGAAGTTGTGATATGCAATTTTTTTAGCTAGTTACAAAACTAGTTAGATAAATTATTAGTAGGAATATTATATGAAATGGCAACCAGTGGGAAAGGAAGCGATATGGCACAAGATCTCTTTTTATCTTCTTAATGATTCTACTTCTGGTGAATGTGTACTGTCACAAATTGTAGAGGCACTCTCAATGATACTGAAGGCAATTTTACATATAAATGGAAAAGTAGATATGGTCTTTGCAGTAGTATGAAGCTTGCTAAACTATCTGTCAAACCTAGACTAAAGGATTAAATTAAGTAAACTTGCACCACCCAGATCACACTTTAGTCTCAGGGTGAACAATACAATTCAATTCAAGTAAATTGTTTTTGCAAAGGCTCAAAAACAATTTAAACCTTCACTTGAGATTTCTCAAGCTTATAAAAATCTCTGTCCCTACTCTTCCTGCAAGCTTCATTTAGGCTCATAAGCACAGACTCTTGGCTTCACCCACTCATCATTTAAAAAGTCTGGACAATCCATACTTTAACCCATTACTCATTTTATTATTTGAGAGTCGTTCAATAGACTGAATTTTGCTGAGCTAGTAAAAGATAGCTTTGTATTCTCAAATGTACCAGCTATATTTAAATTTCCAATGTATACTTAATTATGCATTCTTACAATCTCAGTATTATCTCCCTTTTCATGAGGGAAAAATTAAGCTATTGTGCTTGCAGACATTATATCTGACTTTTGACATTTTTTTTAGGGAAAACTATAAATATGTGAAATGCTGTTTCATCTTCTATGTGGTTCTCAATATTTTACATCTACATTAAGAGCAAATATAACGAATGTGACAAATGTTTTAAATCCTTTCCATCACCATGAACATGCCTACAATTTCACTGTTTAGCATTAAGCTTTTTGTTTTTGTTGGAATGTGTTCCTGAAATATCAAGAAGCCACAATCGAATTCTATCCTCCATCATACCCCAGTAGATTACTATTTCAGCAGTTAGTTTTCCTTTGACTTGTAGTTCCTAGGAATGGCATCTATCACAGGAAACCAGTTTGTTGCCCGTTGTAAGGAATTTATGATGCTAATGAGGGAAAAAAAGAAAAGGTTTGTTATGACCCCTGGCAGTTACCACAGAGCCCTCAATATTCTTCAGTGGTGGAATTCAAGAAAGGCATTAATGTTTCTACATTTAGTTTAAAATTATCTTCTAAATCAGATTACTTTTCACATTTAGACAGTCTTAGTCTAGACCAGTAATACTATTTTGGATAGCAAGTGCCAACCAAGCCAATTAAAAAAAAAATTATTTAAACATATAAATGCTATATTTATTTATGTATTATCTATGAGAATTATGGCAGATAAAAATGTTCTACAGGACTTTAATAAACCTGATTATGCTCTATAGCCTACCTGATCAGGCTTAATTATCTGTTTATGTTACAATTTGCAGAGTTTTTATTCAGGAAAGCAGGATTTTCAATTGGCTTTTGACACAAAATAACCTTTTTTAAACTGTGAAACTGTGTGCAGACAATTGTTTCTGCATAAAATATATCACTTCTTGAATATTGTCTAGAGCAGTTTTATTTTAGCAAATATGAGCAAAAGAGTAGTATATAAACTAATTAACCTCATAAGAAGTGTGGGCAGAGTTCGATATCATAAGTGTCCATCTACTTTTCCTTTTTACTCTTGGAAGAATGATAATTTTCTTCTGCTATCCAGCCCTGTGATGTGAGAATGGTAGAAGAATACAGGGAATAAAGATAACTAGCCAGTCTCAGCTTTCACCTCTAAGAAGGGAGTTAGCATGTACCCAGTTCCATAGGCACAGTTTTAACAGGTGAATTATGATTATTGTAAAGTTTGGCATGTCACCTAGCTGCATAGTGTCACAATCAGTAGAAAGTAGGCATATATGGGCAGCCTTTCATTCAGCCTAAGTTGTTTCTCTAATATTTAGGATGAAACCCTTTTTGGTATGTCTCTGAGAGTCTACAGAGAGACTTAACCTCAGAGGAATTTTATATGTGTTCAAACTCAAAATCTTTCTGCATCTAATGTCAGCTAACATGGAACACT